AAAAAAAAAAAAAAAAAAAAAAAAAAAAAAAAAAAGAACAAGCTTGTGACAAACAGTCTCTCAAAATAGCGCAGTTATTTCGGGTGAGAGGCTTTTGGGTGCTCTGGCTAGCTAGGAGAGACCGAATCTTTTCTTAGAAAGCCACCATCCTGGGCTCTTATCTTCGCAAAATACAAGCATGCTATCAGACTAGACATCATGTCGGAGTGGGTCAAAATCAAGAAGCAAACAGGCTCGTCAGAATCTCCCAAGATTCGCTTCCAATCCAAGTGGGCCTCTCTACACTCTTGGGCCTACTTCGATGACAGGGACAAGCTCAAGTACTCGGAGCTTTTCTTGTGGGACCATCCACTCACAGACCTAGGTATTATGGATTCAGCAGGCAGCCCATCAGGCTGAGAAGGTCTGAGGTCCCTTCGGAGCTCGTAAGGGCACTGAGCAGCAGAACGCATAAGGCTATCAGAAAGCTATGTCATTGAATCTAAAAAGGGACGCCGGACCTGATTTTCTTCCGTCATATGCAGAGATGCTAGAATTACTAGAAGTGTTTTTTTGGAAAGGACACTGGACGTGGTTTCCAGCCAGTTTTCTCTCTCTTATTTTGAGGACACTGGACCTGCTTTGCAGTCTGATACCTAAGATAGGATGCTGGACCTGTTTTTTTTTTTTTTCTTAATTACAATTGGACCTGTTTTTCAGCAATCCGGGCTGGGAAAAAAAAAAAAAAAAAAAACCTTCGCTACTGGGTGCAGCACCGTTGAGTTCAGCCAGCTCAACGGTGTGACAGCAAAGAATGGCTTTTTTTAATCCGAAAAAATCGATATGGCATTTTTTTAATGTGTGTTTAGGTGTTTCCCTCATTTCTTTGTATTTTAATAAACATAGATATTTTGCCGATGTTCGGAGGTATTCATGACGTCCACTGCCGTCTGAAACGAGAAAAGTGGACTCTGACATGTGTCGTCCGCGTTTACCGTGCCCACTGTTCCCCAAAACAAGTAAAGTCGGGCCGAGCATGGACTTCCATGAACCTGGCCTGTAGGAATGTCCAGGTTCGCGCCCTCTGTCATTTCCGCATGTCCCATTGCCTCGGAAGGGAAGGACGCCGCGTGCAATCGATAGGGCGCGCGTTCGAGTCCCCGTTTCTTAAAAATGAGGACATCTGTAGAAGCAGGAAGGAGATTTTTGAACAGTACGATGCAGATGGTAGTCGTCACGAGGCTGTGGTTGAGGGGAATGGGGGGTTGTGGGGTAGGGCACCTCTATTTGGCGGATCTTTCTGCGAATGTCAGTCAGGGTTGACGGCATTTGGCCTTGGGGCAAGAGCGGATATGTTGTTCTGGCAATACGTTAGGAGTAGTGGTTTGTTCTGGGTAGGTTGTACGTATCATGGACGACGACGACAAAGCTGTTGAGGATGTCATTGTCCCCATCCTCGCTTGTGCTCTTCAGCTCGGCGAGGATGCGGTTCGCATTTTCAACGACATCTGGAGCAGGCCACCATGGACGGGGAAGTGTGTGATAGATGACATTTTTGAGTGTGGCATAGAGGATGACAGCGCATCCCGGAAGAGACGTAGGTGTACCAGTTGGCAATGGCCCGCCATAGTGAATGTTTGTGATGTCATGCCTCGCAATCCACCTCGTTGGTGGGTAATGCGTCGCACAGGTGGTGCGTGGAAGGACCTCGAGGTGACTGACGATGCTGAAGATGACTACTACGTCACCCTGTTGCGCATGCGTAGATCTAACTTCAACCGCCTTCTTCGTGTGCTCGCACCGCATCTGGAGAAGCAGGTTACCAGGTGGAGGAAGCCATTGCCTCCTGCACAGGTGCTGGCTTATGCATTGCACCGTTGGGCACATGGCGACTCCCATCTCCATAGCTCATGGACATACGGGATGGGAAAAACGAGCGGGCTACGGGCGGTGCGTGATGTTTCCAAAGCTATCATACGCTGTTTTGGATCGGTGGTGAGGTTTGGTACGTACAAGGAGCGGCATCGTCGGATGCAGAAGTTCGCCGCGCTTGGTTTTCCAAACTGTTGGGGGTGCATTGATTGCACTCGTGTTTTCGTCGACAAACCTAAGAAGAAAGACGGAGACGACTTCATGGGCGGTCACAAGCGAAGGTTCTCCATCGTGGCGCAGTTGGTGTTCGATACGGACTTGCGCATTCTTGACCTGTGTTATGGATTTCCGGGTACTGTTGCCGACGGCCGAGTCCTGCGGAATTCATCTCTGTGGCGGAGGGCCGTGTCGGGGGAGCTGTTTTCAGCGGACCCTGACGACCCGACCAGGCACTTGCGTCCCGAAATTCCCGGAGTCCCGGGTGGATAYCTGCTTGCTGACGGTGGGTATCCCACATTGGCTTGGCTCGTGGTCCCGTATGGCCACARCTATGTGGACCCGCACACCAAAMTTTTCGATAGTCGACACAAGGTTGTTCGCTCACTTGTGGAGCGGGGCATTGGCCTCTTCAAAATGCGGTTCCAGTATTTCTACAGGCCGCATGTGTGTGATTTGAAGATCGAGGGGGATGAGTTTTGGGCTGCTTGTATAGTGCACAACCTGCTTCAGGAGTGGGGTGATCTTCCAGAGGAGTACGCGCAGCCACCAGATGTCGGGAGTGGAACACAACCTCCGCCCAGCCGTGCGGTGGCAGGAGAGTTGCGTGCTGTGCGCCATCTCCGGACTAGGGAGCCTGGGGTGCAGGTGCGGGACGCTTTGTGTGCACACGTCAACACCAGGGTCGCACACCGAGCCCGAGTGGGGTGAAGACACAGACACGTTCCAGGTGGCCACCGTTGAGTTCACACGTGTCATCAATCGATAAAGGTGGAGTATGGCGAAGGATGGAGGATGCAGCTTGTCGAAGGGTTTGGGGAGCAAGGGGGCGGATGAACAAGTGGACGCGATTGTGCATGGTGCGCAAAGTCTGAGCGATGCCCTTTTCAGTGCGCATCAGGAATTGCAGGTCCTACATCGATTCCTTGTTAAGCGAGGAGATGATATCACGGTAGTTGTGAAAGACGGAGAGCAGGAATGGTGAAGGGAGCATAGCCATAGCCATTACTGTGCAAGAAGATGGTGCAAGGCGGTTGGCAGACGACTGCGGCAATCTCGCCTCAATGTTTGTAACTGGTGCAACGATGTCGTCGATAAGCTGTCCCTGTGGAGGAGTGAAAACATGACATTTACGAAGGAGATTAATGCATTGAAGGACCGCAATGAGGAGCTGCAGTGTCTGGTCGAGAAAGCGCGCGAGCAGCATGCGTATCTTGAGACACAACTGCAAGATGCCATCGCCGCCATGGAAGAGGCGCGTGATCAACGGGATCTCGCATGGCATTGTTACGATGAGCAATTCGGAGAGATGACATCTGCTGGGCCGTGTGATGTCGACGCCCTGGCGGAGGATGTGAAAGTTGTCACGCTCCAGGATGAAGAACACGTGGCGACGTGCGACAACTACAAGTCCTTGCAAACAAAAGTCGAAGACCTCGAAGCGAAGCTGGAGGGTGTGAAGTGGGTGAACGCCCTGCTGCAGGAACCGCCATCGTTCTGGGATGAAGTCTTTGGCTAAGATCAGCGTCACAGCGGCAGTCTCACATTTGGGTTTCTGAGAGAGAGAGAGAGAGAGAGAGAGAGAGAGAGAGAGAGAGAGA